TTGGGAATTTTATGTGCAATTCCTGTAACAACTTTTAGGTTTAATGTACCTTATTAATTTTTAAATATACGGAGATAAACCACCAACCTGGCAAAATTCTATACATATTTATAAACAACAAAAAATCCAGACTAAATACCTGTTTTAAAGCTGACCAAATAACAGAACCCTTGAACTCTACAAGTACCCGAGAGCATCAAAACAAAATATAAAGACGACAAACAAAAAAAAGCAACTTTTGAAGCCCATTGCCATTGAAATTTTTGGGTGAAAGCCAAGAGAGAACAAGAGAAACAACATTTGAACAAGTTGAGAGAGTTTAAAGAAGAAACAAAAAAAAAACAGAGACAACTCAAGATATACTCTTAAGCAGCAACAAAAATACATATGTATATAGAAACAGAGCAAAAGACAGAGAGATGGATTCATTACCTTTGACAAACAACAAATCAGCGAATTTGAAGGCAAAAGGGGAATGCGAGTAAACTATAATAGTGTCTCGCCTTAACAACAATAACAACAAAACAAATAAAACGATTTTCATACATAATTAAATTGATTAACTAAGTTGAAATTATTCAAGTCGTTGTTGTCGTTGGTCGTTGTCGAGCTTTGCATACTAAATACAGGCCAACAATAAAAAAATAATACACACAAAAAAACAATAACAAAAAAAACACCTGGAACCCGACTGACGCCGATGATGATCATTAACTAATCTAGAGAGCAGAAAATTGTATTAAATTAACCGAAATGTAAGCAGAAAGAGAGCGCCGCGGCCGGGGCATAGGAGTGTACATATGTATATAAACAATAAACAATTGCTGACTAAGTCGAGTCACGAGACTTTCGATGCAATTAACAGACAGACAGAAAAGAGGGGAGGGGAGAGGAGGTTGGTTGGATAAATTGGGGAAAATAGTGTATTGTAGTTGTTGAGGAGAGGAGAGAGGAGGAGGAGGGGGAAAAATAGAATGACAAAGTCCACTTGATTTACGGGCAGCATCCTAAGGCTTCCTTTTTGTCCAGATGGATGAAACCAAAACTAGGAAACACCATAGAAGACTGTATAGTTATTCTTTTGCTAAATTGTATTATTATTTTGTATTCATATTTTTGCAACAGTCATAAAAAACGATCAGAAAGTGATTAGAATAAGAAGTATAGTATCACTATATACGAGTATATGAAAGTATCTAGTATCTAGTATATGAAGGAGCATAGTATAAATAGGAAGATAATATAAAATACTGGTAACAAATACCATGTTATATTAGGAAATAACACAGGTATAATGGTAGCTTAATTTGTCCTATATATAAACAACTACAAAAGGAGCTAAGACAACAGTCTATATCTCTATATCGATATATATACATATATCCTAGATAAAATCCCATAGTGATTTTTGTTGCTCAACAAGTGCTACAAACACGCATTTTGTTAATTCCTCTTTGTATTCTCGGCAATTTTCTTTCGCTTTCCATTTCCTACAGCGGCACTCCCTCGCCAAAAGCAAGGACACTGGATTAAGTGACTGAGTTTTCCAGCGGGTTGCCAGGTTGCCAGGTTGCCAAGGAACAAAATAAAAAACATCCAATTCATTTCAATCCAATTCAATTCGATTATATGGCCATTAGGCGGAGCAAACAAATGACTCAAGAGAGCGGAATGAAATGAGACAGAATGGTAGGGTGAAAGGGGGAGGGCTGTGGGTGGAAAAGCTGCCCGATAGGCAGGTGAAAACGTTGTGGAAAGGCGGGCAAAAGTGGGTGGGGAAACTGAATACCGAGCAAACAGCTTAGCTCTCTCTCTCTCTGCTGGTGGTAAAAAAAAACGTTTAAAAGGGATTCAATTCGATTCGATACGAATCGCGTGGCTTAAGCTCAAGGAAAACTGTTTTCTACTTGGTCTTTTTTGTTTTCTTTTTGTGTTTTCCTGCCACGTGTGTTAAGTGGCAAACATGGAAATTAAAAAAAAGGGCAAAAGTAATCAACAAACACTAGAGCAGCAACAGAAGCCCAATGAACTCGAGAGCATATGCCAGCGCACATGTAAAATTACAGTGATCCCTGGCTAAAAGCAACATTATCAGTAAATCTTTATTGATTATTTTGTATAAAGAATATTAATAATAAAGTTAAAATGAATTCAGAGTTCAGAGTCCCTTTAGAATTCTCTTTGTAGCAGTGTAAATATTTTTTGCTTAGTGAGTGATCACTGTACTCGAGCATGTAAACATCTACATATACAAAATATGATTGTTTATGCTTGTGTGGCTGCGTGGTGTAAGCTAGGGTATACGCGTATGTGTTGGTACACGTGCGTAGCTTTCAATGTCGCAATGTTTTTTTTTTTTTGATGGCCAAATAAAATAGTTTTTCAACTTTTGCTGATATCGATGGCCGAATTATTGGGAGGGGAAGTGGGTGGGTTGGTCTTGGAATCAATCAAGCAATATTTTCGATCAACAGGGAGCGTTATTTTTATCCAGAAGTATGTGTATACAACCTTAGGGCGATCTATTTTTGTTTTGCCATCTACATATTTACAGGCAAAACAAGAATAATACCACAAAAACAAGAAAAAAAAACACAAAATGTAAAAAAAAATAACAAGAAAGAAAACTAACTTTGGGAAGCTGAAGTCTATATACCCTTGCAGTTTGCAAACAAGTTATAGAATCGTTTTGGAAATTGATCATTCTTTGAAACAATGTTTTTATATGACAATTTCATCAACATATCGATATTTAAAAACTTCATACCTCACCCAAAAAATCATTAATTTTAATTCGGAAAGCTTTCCTATATTAGTTTTTATAAGGTTAACAAATCTGAGTACTTAATTTAAAATATTTAACAAATTAAAATTTTTGTAAATTTTTTGACAATTTTAACGAAGTAACCCCTTATAAAATTTGGACAAATTTTATACATTTTTTTTTGCCAGACATGGCTAGATCGATTTGGCTGTTAATGCTGATCAAGAATATATATGATTTATAGGGTCGGAAATGACTCTTTCATAGCGTAACAAGCTTCAGACTGAAATTATAATACCCTTGCAAAGGGTTTCAAAACACAATTAAAATAGACATTAACCTTTTACGCCTCAACTGCTGTCAATTTTGGACTATTATTTAAGCTCTTAGATCTTATCTATCCAAATATATTTTAGAAAATTACTAATTCCAGTTGGTAATCGTTTTTAAAGGGATAGGAGTTATATTTAGTAATTATTTGGACAGTTTACTTTTCAAAACAATCGAGTTTCTATTTCTGGGAATAGCCCACCTAGAGCCGCATCCGAAAAATATGCAATACATCGCATATATCACAATCGATCGCTACTAAATGCGATGTATTGATCTATCGATACTCTAGATTTTCTGTCCAATTCGGACTCCCACCGCCCTCAATGGGTTAAGTGTATCTCTCTCATCAAATGTTTAACGAAAACCAAAATAACATAAAAAAAATAAGAAAAACAACAAAGAGAGTAAAGAAAAGAGCGAAATGGGATAAAATGGTAACAAACCTGTTCCGCGCGCCGCATACGTTGTGGTGGCCTGCATGGACGAACTGGAGGAGGGACCGGCTGCCAGCTGGTGGGCAAGGGGCAGGGGGACGGATGAGGGTCCAGCTCCACTGGTTTTTGTTGTGAATTTCAAAAGCATAGTTTTGAGCCGTTGTTGTTGCCGTTGTGATGTTGATGTTGATGTTAATGTTGTTGTTTTTGTTTTTTGTTGCTGTTGCTTCCACCGAATGCCGTTGTTTGTGTTGTCAAAACAGGAGAGCACGGCAGCGGCGGAGAGCGGGTGATAACGGTACAAGTGTCTCCGGACAATATTAAAATCCAAGTGGCCCAAAGGCTGCTACTTTTTGGTGCCTGCGTCAACACTCTCCTCTTTCTCGCACTCTCTCTGTTCCTTCCTTTCTCTATTTATTGCTATTTTTAGCAACAACAAAAATTCTCCTCCTTTTTAGTCTCTCCACAGTGTCACTTTTGCTTACTCTCTCTCTAGATTCCTGCTCCTGACGTTTTTTGTTTTATCAATTATATTACAGTTACAGAGAGCATGCCTTTCACTCACACTCATTCACTCGCGCTCTAGCTGTCTCTTTCACACCCTCACACACGAGTGGACGCCTGCACATGTACATATGTTCGTGTTTGAGTGGTGTTTTTTTTTGCCCGTGTTTGTGTGCGTGTGTGCTTTGCTCAATTGTTTTCGTTGCGTGGTTCAATCCGTATCGTATTCGCGCTGCTTCAACTGTCACTTGCATTCACTTGCATTTAGCGTTATACGTTGACAATTGCGATGTCGGTGCACGTTAACAAAAACAAAAAACAAAACTATTTTGCGCACTTTTTTGGACGCAATTTTCTTCTACTTCCATTCAACTTGTTGCGCAGGGCTGCCAGACTGCCGGCGGTAATCGATAATTCCAATTAAAAATAAACCGAAGCTATCGATAAAAGGGAGCGCGGAAATGAGAAATGAGCATATCGGGTGGAAAATCAACTATTGCTGCGTAACATCTGGCAGGATTGGTTTGATAAACAGTCTTTAGGCTTTGTTTCAGGGTTTAATGGGATTGTTACGCTGTTAATTGTCTGCACCGGATTACTTCCGAAGGGTGTCTGCATGTATTAGCAGTTGTCATAAGAGGACAACGACGGAAGGCGCGCATAACGAAGGATAAGGAACCCCTTTTGTTGTGCAGTCTGGTAACGTTAGTATTTGAAAAACCGTTTTCAGTTTTGTATTATTTAAATATGGTCAAACTACCAACCAGTCCAAAATCCAAGTAGGCCAAACGTAATTTTTAAGAGTATAAACAAGGCCGTTATTGATTTAATATATTTATTAATATAAATAAGGCCGCCGAGCTAAGCCCAATCACAGTCCTTATTGCCCTGCCTTAGAGTAAACAATTTTTCGTGTTTCGTCTTTCTTTTTGTTTTATTTTTATTTTGAAACATTATTTGCATTGTCTTATTGGTTCCCTCTTTTTTCCGTCTTAATTTCCGTAATTTATTTAACTTTAAACCAAAATAATGGGCAGATCAAGTCCAATAACCGCCTGGTTCGTTTCTAGAAATCTCTTGTTCAAAGTTGTGACTATCTCGGAAAGAACCAGTTGTGATTCGCAGTACAGGTTTATCTCCTGCTTATCAAATACCTCAACATCATCCACGTCTACATCCATTTCGTTCGTTTTATCCTTGGGAAAAAAGGGCTCAGCGATTAGCTGGAACAGGCGCTGCAGGAAGGATGTGGAGTCGTCGCCTTGCTTTTGAAGATTCGTCAGGATTAGATTGAGGAATTCCGGTATCAAGGCACTGGGCAGAATGTTCCTTTCACCTGTAACCAACTCCTGGCCCAGTTCCCGTTGAAATTTGGAGCTGGCCACCAGCTGAGCGGCTCGATGACGCACCCACTCTGCCTCGTCCAGCAGCAGGAGTAGAACAAGTCGCATAAAGCGTCCCATTACCTCCACATTTGAAGTCATATGCTCTGCCAACTGGCTGCCAGCGAGTAGGTCACACAGGTCGACGGCCTGGTGGCGCAGATACACAGGCTGGATGGGATCGATGAGGCTTAGGGCGTAGTCCAACAGGGGCAGCCAGTGGTCCGTGTCCAGTTTACCGCTCTCCCGTATCAAACGCTTGAGGGCTAGCACTAAGCCCGGCTGCTGCTGGCTGGACAGCGGTGTCTGTGCAGAGCATCGATTAATGACTTCGTCCAGCTGCAATCCAGGCTCTTGGAGCAGCGGCTGCAAAGCAGCCAGGCGACCGACCAACGCTAGGTTCCAGCAACGCTGGGGAGATGTGACCATTCGCAAGACACAGGATTGTATCTCCTGGGATGTATACAGCAACTGTTCCAGCTCCCTAAGCTGGCCAGGCGTGAGAGTGTCGTGGTAGCGTCGTATATCCGCAGCAAACTGGAAATGCTCAATGTCCAGGTCGCTGATCAGTTGGGGCTCCGCTACTGTCCTTGATCTCTGAAGCAGTATATACAGCCAGAACTCCACTTTGAGTTCGTCCAAAGCGGCAGGCAGATTGGAGATAGTTAAATCCTTGACCATATGCTGTACAATTCCCTGGACATGACCTTGCAATCGGTGCAAATGCAGGCAAAATATCTGATAGAAACGCGTTGATATACCCTGCTCCTGGCAGCGCCTATAGACCTCGGCATGATCCAAACGATAAACAGCGGCAAGCTGCTCCAAAAGCTGATCATTCACCAGGCCCGGCTCGACGGCATCCTCCATAATAGCCACCATTACGTCCAGCAGGGCGCTAAACAGGCAGATATCACGACGCAGGAAGGGCTCAGCCAGACCGGAGAGTGTGTGTAGTTGCAGCCTGGCCAGCGATGGCTGCGTCCAGCGAGCCAGTCGGTGAAGATGGAGGAGCAGGAGTAATTGTCCGTGGCAGTGATTGGCATCTAGGCTGAAAGAGTCGTCCTGCGAGGACGTGAGGAGTGAAATTAGGAAGATTAAAGGAAGAAGTGTATTCAAACTCACTCACCAGTTTTAGCTGTAGCACCTTGAGCTCAACAATTGTGCGCTTAATCTCGGCCAGCGCTCGCTCTTGGCTCACAAAATTGGCCACCACCAAGGCCGCCCGCTCGCGGGTCATCAGATCGTGGGAGCTACAAATTCTCAGCAGGAAAGGCACAAATTCGCTTAGCTGGAGAAAATAAAGGATAAATCAGGGACATAGATTCGGATGGAGGGTTCTCTACACACTCACATTCAAGGTGGACTCGGCGCCCTCCAGCGATGAGGGATACAAACGGCTAAGCATCAACAGCATGGCCTCCAGCTGAACAGTTTGCCTTCGCTTGCCGCTGCTCGTGTTGCCACCTGTCGTTCCATCATCCATCTGCTCCGCCTCGCGCTGCAGCCCAGCATGGAAGTAGTCAAAGAGCTGGGGATATCGTGTAAAGAAGATCCTTCCCGTCATCCGGTTGCGTACATGCAGCTCACCCGTCTCCAGACGTGCCCGCTCCACACCAAAGACACGTACGACAAGGGCGGCCAGCAGCAGTGTGGCACAGTTGCGTTCCGCCCACTCCTCCGCCCGCAGCAGACTCTCCAGAGCACACTGAATGCCCCGGGCCACGAATTCAGTGACCAGCTCAGCCAGTTCACTGCATCGGAACAGAGCACGCATTATGTTCAAGGCATGACTGCGGGCGGTAATGGCTACTGCGCCGGGGCTCCGACGCTCACACACCTCCAGCAGGCGACGCATACAACGATGCAGAGTGGCATGGGTGCCCAGCTTGAGCTCCGTGCAGATCAGAGCCTGCAGCATGAAGGGCATACCTGCACTGCGTCGTGTAGAGCAGAGGCGACGCGTTGCTTGATGCTGCTCCTCCTCGCCGCTGACCATGGCCATGGCCTCGTTGACCCACTGATCGGGCAACTGATTGAGACGCACTGCATCGCTGTGCCAGAAGCGGCGGCAGAGTAGCGTGAATCCCACATAGGCCTGCTCGAAGGCACCACGATGCTTGGTTTCCGCCAGCAGCAGCAGGAACAGCTCCCCGATCTCCTCCAGTTGAGTGCTGGCAAGCAAGTAGTCCTGCCCCTGCTCCTGCTCCTCCTCTAGTGGCGCCCGCTGCACCAGTTCGCCCAGGATGAGAGACACCTCCTTGATGCTACGCCAGGCACACAGCAGCACCATCTGGGGCGTGGTCCGAAGCTGCTGCAGGGCTTCGCTTTGCAGTCTTCGGCTAAACACATTGGATAGCAGCGGTTGGTTTAACTCCTGGTCCCTGGTCTCGGGCAGGTGGCCCTCCGGCGAGGCGCTACTCACCACCGGCAGCACCACACGGCTAACCTCTAGGCAAAGATTCACCAGCTCCTGAATGTAGCGACGCCAGCAGGGCTCTCGGACCAGTTCCTTAAGCCGGAGCTGCTGCAGCAGGTGACGGCTGGCAAAAAGTAGCCCGTACAGCGGATTCAGCTTGGCTGCCTCCGCCAGATCCTGTTGGGCCAGGGCTAGGCCCTCCCTCAAATGCTGAAGGCACCACTGCAGGGCTCTGTAGATCCTTGGCTCGTGACAGTTGACTTCTTCGTGCTGGACAGGCAGCTCCGTTTCCACCTCCTTGGCCCGGCAATAGACCTGCAGCTGGAAGGCACCCGTCGCTGAATCCGGTGGCCTCAGCGATAAAAGAAGCTCCATCATCTTTTCTGGCTGCAGGCGAGAGCTTATCTGCAGTTTCTGAAGCAGCTGGGCAGCCAGGAGCTTATTCTGCTCGTAACTGTCGCCCAGACAATGCTCTAAATTGGTCAGAGCCTCTGGAGGCAGCTGCTGCTCTACGTCGCTTAAATGTAGACGCCGGCACAGGTCCACACAGTCGCGAAGCAGGTGCAGGGATAGCCAGCGACGACCGTAGTTAGCCGTGGGGAAGAGGTTTCGCGAGAGCAGGACCATGAGGTTGGTGAGCAGGCGTAACAGCTCATTGCCTACTGGCGTCGGGCGCTTCTGGTGCTCCGCCAGGCCAAGGTGTATCCTTTTCAGTGCCTTTTGGAGCAGGCCGTAACCCAACTGGCGTAGATGGGCGCTTGGATTGTTGGCATTGTGACGCAGATACAACCCAATGGCCTCGGCTTCGGCCTGGGTCAGCGGATCACTGGGCCGCGGCGTCTCGACCACAAAGCGCAGCGCCAAAAGCCTCGTGTGATCGTCCAGTCCCAGCAGGGCCTGCTCCACCTCCTGCTTTAGCTCGCGCAGAAGTTCCTGACGCCGTTCGCTGAGCTGGCGAACGCTTAGAATAGCCGCCAGTTTGCTGCTAAGCGGCAGTCGTGCGTCCTCGTCGTCGTTACGCAGGAGGACTTGGGCCAAAGCCTGTGGCTCCAGCTGCACGGCCTGCGTAAGGAGTTGCTCGATGGCTGAGCGACGTTTGTCCTGTACTCGAGTGGCTGCCAGCAGCTGGCCAAACCATAGCTTTTGCCATTCCGCAAAGGGTTGCGTCTTGTGGGCGGATATCATCATAGCTGTGGAGGTTAAAGGAAAGTGAATTAATAAAAAAGCTAAAATTACCAGCTCCCTCCTAGTCTTACCCTTAAACAGGGAATCCACGCTGTCTTCGCAGCCCAGGAAACGTGGAAATATTACGTCAAACAGCGAGGGACACTGCCTAAGGGCCTGATCCACGCCCAGGACGCCAACTAGCTGCTCCAGAGCCAGGCAGCTGGCATTTAGCGAGGCCTCCCGACCCTCAAATTGGCAATAGACCACTTGGAAGAGCTCCTCCTGCCCGCTGGTCTGGGCATGCTGCAGAACTTGTCGAAACAAGGCGCTGCTCATGTGACGCACCGAATCGGTGGCATTGGAGATATGCTGCAGGGCGAAATGCTGGAGCTCGGCCAGGATGCGCTGCTGTACGGCCTCCTGGCCGGCGGGTAACTCACCCAGCGACTTGGAGTAGATGAACAGATGCTTAGAGAGGTAGACCAACAGGTTGCTCACATTACTCTCCGTTTCGGCGACGGCCAGAATTAGCTGCAGGATGGCCAAGGCTTGCGGCCCATGCTCCGTGTAGTCTGCTGGTTGAAGAACAAGCAATGCCGCCATCTGGACGGGAAGATCCCGCTCAGCCTGTGGCTTGGCGCAACCATCCAGATACTCCCGAAATTGGCCTGAGGAACGTGCCAGGTGACCGATCAGCAGGCCTGCAATGGACCGGACATCCCACGGCGTGTCCACGTGACGTGCCACGCGCTGAGCCACCGCATCCGTGGCCTGAAGGTGCTTCACCGGCCAACGGTCGCCGCTCCACTCGGACAGCAAACTCACCTGGAAGCGCAGGGCATTCTGTACATACAAATACAGCTCATTGCGACGCGTGGGCGAGAGCTCCAAACGGGCATCACTAATATCCGTCCAGTAACGCTCCAGGGCCATGGGCAGCAGCGGCATAAACAGATGCACCTCTGCGCCAAGGGCCTCCCGGCCAAAAGGAAAGTTTTGCAGGCAGGCATTCGCCGAGACAAAGACATCATTAAAGCTATCATGGCTTGCGCCCGAAGCACTCTCCACCAGACTGGCAGTCATTTCGCTCAGCGACTGACGCAGTGCTGCCAGCAGCGATTCCTTGGAGCGTCTGTTCACCGCCTGTTTGGCCAAAGCATTGTCCGAGAAGAGCCTGGCAGAGATTTACATGGGAGCAGTTAGAGGCCACATATTAAGGGGGGCGACTGCTCACCGTACTTGGTCAGCTGGTTGCGCACGGCATGCTTAAGCGGGCTGGCCAGCAGTAGGTCAGCCAGAAAGTGCTGCACCGTTCGATCTGGATCATCATGCTCCTTGTAAAACAGATCCTTGACCACCAAGACCTGCTCCGCGCTGCTGGTTGCCGCTGCAAATTGCTTGACGTATTCGTAGGGAGCTAAAAAGAAAAAAAAAAGATCAACATGTGGCTCTGTTGGAACATGCTTCCTCCTCCTCACACTCACCGGAACTCCAGCGCTCGGGTAGCGGGACAAGGGCGTCCCGGAGTTCGGCAAAACGCTTTGGATGCGCGCAGAGCTTCAGGGCGGCCACGCGCAGATTTAAATCGTTCATCTTTGGCTCGGAATTGGGGATAATTTTGGGGTCCGGGAAATCGGTGGAGAAAGAAAAACACAAGCAAAGAGCGGGAAGCGAGCAGCGTGACCGTAGTCACGAAAAATACCAAACAATAATACCAACAATTATCAAAGCGGACACACTAGAAAATACTATAACTATCGATGTTTTTAGCGATATTATTCTTATATATTAATTGTTTTTTAGTTTTATTTCACTTTGCATCAGTTTTATTTAAAAGAAAAATAATGCAACACATTCAGCAACAGCGGGCTTTTAACTTATTGATTTATTTGCTTTGTTTTTCTTGTATATTATTTTGCGATTATCTAAATGGTATCCGCCGCATGTCATATAAATAAAATGTATATCTCTGGACTTCTGCTATTTTCGGAAAATGTTTTATTGTTTTTTTTGTATATACATTACATTTTAGTAGTAATAGGAACTTCAAAAACCTATAATTATAGTTATACATTTCCAATACGATTAATAATTCAAAATTTATATATATATTTTTTAATACATTTGTCATCAGTTTTATTTTAATAATAAATAATGCAACACATTCAACAACAGCGGGCTTTTATCTTATTAATTTATTTGCTTTGTTGTTTTTGTATATTATTTTCCGATTACCTAAATGGAATCCGCCGCATTTCATATAAATAAAAGTCTATTCCAAAAAGTTTTTCATAAGTTTATTTTTGTATATACATTAAATTCAATTAGTAACTGGAATTTCAACAACCTATAATTATAATTATACATTTTAATTATGATTTATAATTCAAAATTTATTATAATTATTATTTTTTAAATTTATTTTTGATCAGTTTTATTTTAATAAAAAATAATGCAACACGTTAAGCAACAGCGGTCAGCTTAATTTATATTCTTAATTTGTTTGCTTTGCTTTTATTTTATATTATTTTGCGATTAGCTAAGTGGTATCGGCCGCATTTCAAATAAATAATAATATATACTTCTTGGACTTCTTCAATTCCCGGAAATTGTTTGATAAGTTTCTCTGCTATATAAATTCAATTCAATTAGTAACTGGATTTTCAAAAACCTTTAATATTTAATTAATATTGTCATTTATAAATTTCCAATACCATTAATCGTTCAAAAGCTATCGATAGTATCGATGGCACTCATCGATGCTTTCACATCTCCAACAAAACTTCACAACTACGGTGCGGGCGGGGCGTTTTTCGTGAAAATCTACGCACGGGCTTTTCGTAGTTTCCTGATAGTACCATCCGTTTGTTTTGTTTCGCTTTTTTTTTGTGTGTGTTCGAACCCGTCGCCAGTCCTGCGATCCTAGCGAAGTAAATATCCGCAGTGCCATTAAATTTGTTGGTGAATCACCGATGGCCGCTGAAGGAGGGAACTCCTTTTCCTTTTCTTTTGTGCGATGCTGCTGGCTGCAAATGCAAATGCACTCGGCACAGCAACAACAAAACGGCCGAGCGACTAACGGGGCTTGATGGCGTAAAGCCGTGGAGAGCACAAAAGGATTACTAATTGATTAATTGAGGCGGAGGAAGTGCAAAAGCTGGATAGCAATTGGAAACGCATTTGCAGTTGGATTTCGAATTGGAACTGGAGTTGGAGTTGCGAAGTACCGAGAGTGCGAGCGAGAGAGGACGAGCGCTGCATGAGAGTGTTGTTGGTGTGCGTGCGTGCCAGTGTGGGTGTAGTAGTCCCAGTGCATAAACTCCAGATTGCGTTCGGTCGACTTCGGTTAACTTCGGCCCTGTTCGCTTCGTTTTGTTTGCTCTCCCGTTCACCCACGCAACTTTCGGAGAAGGAGTAAGCAAGACAGCCAGATAAAGAGTAAGAGCGAGAGCGAGTGCAAGGAAGCGGTTTTTCGACCGAAAATGCACAAAGGCAAGCTGCAAAGTTAGCTAAAAAATACAAGAAGGAAACGAGACACAAACAGAAGAAATAGCGGTTAACGGGTCCCTAGCTGCGAATCGTTGAAATTCAAGACGGATCGCCATCACATTTCTTCAATTATGCCGAACTTTTTGGTGTCTGTTTCGGTTTTCATTTCGCTGCAATAAGCGATCGCAGCGGCGCGCCGAGCACACAAAGGGAAAAGAATATAGAAGGGAAGGAGAGCGACAGAGGAGAGGGAGAGCGGCCCCAAAGAGCGCTCTCAATTGACGACTCCCACTCCCACTCCCCTTTTGTGGGCCCCCTCTCTTCACCTTTTCACTGCCAGTACTATGGATTGTGGTGGTCTTGCGGCGCAACAACAACAACAGCAGCTACAGCAACAACAGCACTTACTTCAGCAACAGCTACAACAACAGAAGCACAACTCTCTCAGTTGCCTTGAGGAAGCAGCAACAATAACAAATGTAAGTATCTTCCATGCAACTCCCAAGTATCATATCTGTATGCGTGTGTGTATGTTTCTGTTGTATTTCCTCTATACTTTATAATTCACTCCCACACACCGAAAATACACTGAAAAAAGTGTAAATTGCAATAGCGTACAAAAAATATATGAATAACTATTATTTTTCTTTCACCAACTGTAGGAGTTTTTTAAGTTAAATTAAACAAATCAATTAGATTAGGAATTTTAATTCTTTGCCCATATTATTAATTTCTGCAAGTGTCTGTCCGTTTTCCTATTTGATTTGTGTGGCTGTTTTTGGCTGCACTGCTGGAGAAGGGGGCGTGGTCGGTCCGTGCATAACTTGAAGCCAAAACGGAGTGCTTATCCCAGGTACAAAGTTCAGTGCCAGTGCCTGATATACGTTGCGATATTTGTATTCGTATTTTTTTATTATTTTGTTTTAACACTCGAAGAAAATGAGTCAAGGCGATCGCAGAGAGTGCGATGATTAATCTCTAGGCCAGATGCTGTGGAAACAACAACATGGCAAAGGCAATAAAAACAGCTAGAGTTAACCCTTCAAAAGCCATAGACTGCGATGTCAATCAAATATACATATATAATTTTATTTATATTGTTTTACAAAATTACGTGCTTTTCTTGGTTAAATTACGCATTTACTTAAAATATTAAAACGCAAATTAGGAAAATAAATGTATTGTATTGTACAATTTAAAAATTGTTTATTTGCTACAAACAATTATTTCTTTCATATATTTTAAAACTTCCTCGTGTAAAGAATATACCACCGCATCTGTGGGGTTAACGCTCGTTTAGTTCCTCAAAGTGCCGACACATTAATTGGTGTACTAACTTTTTTGCTCTTTGGCTTCTTTCTCCGCGCTTGCCCCATTACTTTCACCGTGCATAAATTCTGAAAAAAAGGAGGGGGGGGGGTAAATAAGTTTACAGATCTAAAGTCGTTCTGGAAGTTCTGTAGTTGTTCCCGATTTGTTTATACGAGGAAAGCGGCAAAGAAAACACGATTCCCGATGAAAGACGATGTGCGATATACAGCACATCGCTTCGCTTCGTCTCCTTTTGCGTTTTTATTCTCCATCAGTTATCGCCTACCCTTAACATGGAAGGTTGATTAGTTCTACGTCATCCCTCAGAATGGTAATATTGCCAGAATAAATATTATAAATAATTTCAAATTTATAATATCGTGTTAGTTTATTGTGAATAAAATAATATATGTACAAAATTATTTAAATATTATTAAAAATATTTTTATAATATGCTTAGATATTGTCCGAGTCTTGCACTCTTATTTGATAATTACATTCGTCAATTATATTATTACAATCTTCAATTACAACCAGTTTTTCCTAAAAAAAAATGTGAATCTGAAAGATATTCCAAAATTGCAGGGTATCTCATAATCCAAACAGTGTGATTGAGTGGTCATTCAATTTTAGTCGTCTTCCCTGTTCTTTGCTACGTGACTGCAATAAAATTTAACTGCAATTACGTGCCATGTCCCGATCCCAATCCCAAATCCCGAATCCCGCATCCCGCCGCAGTGCGAGGATTCCATTGCGTGCACCTCAAGGATGCACAGCAGGACATTCGTGGGTCCAGGGAGTGCGTGTCAAATTTGCTTAATTGCGTCTATAGTGCCGCAGAATTTGGCAAAAACTGTGTTTACCTTGCGATTTCTGTTTGCTCACCTCACACACAGAGAATATGACAGTAAAACAAATTGATATTTTGTCAACAATAAATACTCCATATCAGCGAGATGTTGGATTTATATATTTCTGTTTGATCGCAAACAAATCTATAAAACCAAGTGCATTCACTCTGTTTTGTAAATAAGAAATTTAAAGTAAATGTCAAACACAATGGATTAAATACAATTTCTCTGGCAGGTCCCAATCGTCTGGCTTAATATAGGGATTTTATACTCTTGCAGAGGCTATTATTATTTTATTTTATTGAAGGAATAATTTCCGACCCCATATATCATATATATTCTTGATCAGCATCAACAGGCGAATTTTTTAGCCATGTCGAAAGCAAAAAAAATGCTAATTTTTTTTCAAAAGTTACATCGTTAAAATTGTAAAAAAAAAAAAATTACGAAAAATTTAAAATTTTCAAAATATTAAATTCAGTATGCAAATTTATTAACATTCTAAAAATTAACACATAAATGCTTTCCGAATTAAAATGAATGCATTTTGATTTAGTTATGCTTATTTGAAATTTTTATTCCTTCAAAAATATCAAACAAAAATTGTAAGAATATACTCAGTTCTTTCGGTGTACGCACTTGCATCTGTCACTCGGTCCTGCCAACTTCCTTGCATCCTCACGCCGGTTGGCAGTGCCAGGAACGTAGCAGCTAAGTACAGTGGAACAAATGGCATTGCAAAATTAATATAATGTCAAATGCAGCTACGAAATTTGGAATAAACACGCCCTAACGGCTGTCCATGTATATTACGTAAGCACAAGGGGAAGGTCAGTCCATTTACGCAAGTACATTTATTATTTGCTTGAATTAATGATTACTTGGGTGGAGTTAAAAATATCCAAAAATTCGATAAGGTTCATATATGAACAGTACCATAAATGGAAATTAATATAATATAATAAAACAAGAATTAATTTAAGGTCAGATGCTGGAATACTATACAGTTTTGAAAAAGACACAAATCCTAGCTTATTATCAAAAATAAAATACTTATTATGAAGCTAAAAAAGATTAAAAAGATTTTGGGTATGTAGAACTGAAATTGCGCCACTGTGCAACGCCCCGCAGCGGCAGCGACATCGCCTCGAGGCTCGCGCTCTCTCGCCATTTCCATTTCAACCGACGCTAGAAGAGGACGTGACAGCTACGCAACGCGGAGCGACGCAGCGTGAAACGGTACTGGAAGGCGAATGTGTGTAGTAACGAAACGAAAACAACGGGTCGGTAAATGCGAGATTGATTGGAAAAGAGCGCGCGCGGAAATCGAAGTGCACAATTATTTTATTTTCATTTCTGTTTTGGTTTTTTGATTTCGCGTTCCGTTTCGGTCTCTTTGCGTCGCATTTTTTTTTCTTGTTGGCTGGCTGTACGCGTTTATTAAGTTCCTTATAACTGCCTGTTGTTCACACAAAACAAACGAAAACGTCGGGTGGCGAGCCGCAAAAGAAAAAGAAAAAGAATTGCGCGGGGTAAATGAAGCAATAATTAAAAGTGCCTTTGGTTAATTGAGAGAAGTGGAGGCGAAACAGCAGGCGACGAGAAAAGGAGAGCGGCAATCGAAATAAAATTGACGTAAACGTCGACGTGGTAAGAGGAATAACGGAATAAGAGTCCCAGTCCCTATCTCTTTCTTTCTTACACCAACAAACCCACCTACACACGCACACATTCGCTTCCCTCTCCCGCCCCTGAAAAAGCACAGTTGTTTGCGTGGAAGAGATGGACAAAGGCGGCGGGAGTTGTTGTTTGTTTTTGTTTTTGGCAGTTAATGTTAATGCGTTTTCGCTTTTGTCTCTCATTCGGCCGAGTGTCGTTGGGGGTGCAGATGAGGGGAATGGATTGCATCGACAGCAGTTTATTATTTAGTTTTATGCCCCATCGGAAAGGGGAGCTTTTATTATTGTTTACTCCGTCTTCAGTTTCTGTGCCTTATCTCTATTTCCTTTCGCTCCTTTCCACTGCCAACTGGCAACGGACAGCGAAGGTGGCAACCCTGACAATGTCCCGTTTTGTCTTTTGCCTATTTTTCGCCGGTTTTTCGTCTAGTCATATGTATGTATGTGCGTCATTCTATTCTCCACCCCGCTTCGTTGACTTCCTTTTGGCTGCTCTCTTCTCTCTAACTCCTTTCCTTTAATTGCTCCCGCACGTTCGTCAAATATTTGCTCAACTCTTTTTAATTACATTACACACACATGCACGCACAGCCGTTTTACCCCTTCACACGCACACACCACCGAAAGCAGATTGTAATTGCAGATCTCTCGCCGATTTAACGGGAGAATGAGGGGACAGCAGAAAGAGGGAGAGAAAACAGTGTGACTCATGCGACAATTCTTGGAAAATCTGTGATTGATTTTATAGATTTAAGAAAAACGTTCTAAACAAGTTTTCCCGGCCATTAAGGGTATTTGTCTTGGGTCATTTTCGTTTGTCATACAGACAAAAACATTTATTGACTAGCGGGTGATGCGGAAAAGGTTGTAAAATAAAAAAATTTTAATTCTTTGGAATTGTGAAAGATTTAAGATCTTTTTTCCAGAACCCCATAAATCCAATCAATTGATCTAATGATTAGAAAAAAATGGATATAGTGGTTACCATTAAAAAAAATATCACTGGTCAGTAAAAAATGTAGGATTAAAAAATGGAAGAAATGAAAAGACTGTGGGTTAAATACGTGCTGTTATTAAATTAGGTAATGTCGTTATGCCTAATACTTTTAATTATGTAGAACTTTTATGTAATCGCATTGAAATGGAATAATACAGTGGAACGCATTTATTATGGGAAAAATAAAAACAAGGCGGGGATTTTTCCACGATTTTCATTATATGACTATTAAATTGATATGTTTATTTCACAAAAACAACACCACAAAAAAGTCATTAGCTAACCATACCTTGAAAAAGAAACATGTGCATTTTACCGAGTAATTCGTAATTGAATCTGTTCCACATATGTGTCCACCGGTAATATCTAGGAAAAGTACACAACTCGATCTCACAGCCCAGGCTAAATATTTATTGCAAGGGGACACGATCTGAGATTTCAATTCGCAGGAGATTTAAACTTTGTTTATTCTGTGGCGACAATATTATCGCTTCACAGTGTTTATAAACACTGTTTATTAACAGATCTTCCTGAGCATTTGCAGTTGTGTAGGCAAGCCAATAAATCCTGACTTCTCACTTTCTCGTAAGCCATTTGATCGGCAAAGAATATATACCTAAGATAACCTGGCGGTTATATTA